AAGGGGTTGCTGGTGATTTCCTCAATTTATTTGTGCTGGTTGTTAATTTACCTAGGTATGTATTTTTGAACTTTAAAAAATATTTTTTACAATTGTTGAAACTTTTGAGGGTGTTTTTGAAAGAATACTCATCTAAATGGGAAAATGGGTGGGTAAGAGCCCGCCTAGTTATAGCTCATTTGTCTTTAATAGAAATAATATCCACCCATTTATGACCCGTCATACTCCCTTTAAAAGTACAAGTTTAAAAAAAAATCTTTTTGTGGTCAATATTATCCTTAAAATTTAAAAAAATTTACATTATTATCCTAATTTATTCTAATTATCCTATCTTCTTTGAATTGATAACTATATGATTTATCCTATTCATAACGAGACTTAACATATTATTGGATAAAAGAGATTTGTTTCATAAAATTTAAATCTTTTACTTATTTTAGTTCACAGAGAAATCTAAAAAACATATGCTGGCCAACACCTAAAAGTTTTTGGACTTTATAAAAAATATCCTCCAAGTTTTTTAAATTGTAAAAACACAACTACAAATTCAAAATTTTATTAAAGCATCTTGAAAACTATAAATTTAACTTATTTAAATTAAGTGAGAAATCTGAAAAATATATGATAGCTATAAACTGAAAGTTTTTTGACTTTGGAGAAAATAACACATTGAAAATTTCAAAAATTATCACGATTTTTATAAAGAAATTGAAAGTTTTTTGAATTTAGAGAAAATATCTTGTAAGTTTTTAAAAATTATAAAAACACCCTTAAAATTCAAAATTTATAAAAACACATTCAAAATTTATAGAATTTACAATAAACACTCTAAATATTTTACAAATTATAAAATAAAACCCTCAAAATTATAAAATTTATAAAAATCCTGATAATGTCCAACCTAACAGTACATTAAAAATATAAAAATTATAAATATCCCCTACATAATTTATAATTTATAGAAAACACCCTTAAATTTTTAAAAATTATAAACATACCCTTAAAATTCAAATTTACAAAAAACACCCTAAGAATTTCAAACTCATTAATAAATTGAAAGTATAGGAATTATAAATAGTCTATAAATAATTTACAAATTGTAGAAAAGGCCTATAAGTTAAAAAAATTATAAAATCCTCCTAAAATTGATAATTTACCAAAAACACCATGAGAATTTCTAACCTATAGACACTAAAATGAATATGCAAAATTACTAACAACCCCTAGAAAATTAAATTTTATAAAAATTATCATATACCCTTTAAAAGTATTGGTTTAGGAAAAACTTTTTATTGTCAATATTACTCGTAACGTTTTTTGAAAAGAACATACATAATTGTAAAACTATTAAATTTGAAATTTACAAAAAACACCCTTAAAGTTTAGTACATTACAAATTACCCCTCTAAAGTTTGAAAATTTTCAATGATTTTTTTAATTCCTTGATTTTAATGTAATGTTAGTTTTGTGTATTTGTATATTACAAAATTTTAGGGATTTTTTAATAGTTTTTAAAACTCTTGAGGGTGTTTATTTTATAGTTTTCTAAATTTTCATTGTGTTTTTAGTGTAATGCATAGATACGTCAATTAATGATGATATTAAAGAGTAAGTAGTTCTTAAGATTATTCGGCCATAGCTAAGTGTGCCTATCATTATTTCTATACAGTATAGTTTATATATGCAAAAATTTTCAGACAATCTACATAGTGGTTAAAAAGATTTTGACTTTAATGTACTATTTTTTATAAATTATATTTAATATGAACCCACTATATAATTTTGACTGTTCTCACATTAGCTAATATTTGACGCTTAATAATTTAAATTATTACTTTTAAATTTAATATAAAGAGGAGCTCTAGTAACATTTATTTATTTACCCACAGGATAATACAATCTCAATTCCTATTTTTTGCTTGAGATTTATTCTATAGTTACGCGTATAAAATTAGTAACTAAAATAATAATTATTTATGCTTAAATTAGGATGATTGTAGTTGGTCACTCATTATGGAATTTTCATGAAGATATGTACATTACTTTCTATAGCTATCTGCACTACTTATGTATATTTTATAAATTAGTTGTTAATTTGACATATTAAATTACTTTTCCTTTGTAAAAATTTCTTCTTTGATTTTTGTACTATGTAATCACTATATCACCATTCTAGTGTAGAAAGGACCTGACTCTAAATGGTGGCAAGCTAATGTTTTAGTTGAACTGAAGTATATATTATTGCTACTATGTGTATATATTTTTTAATAAAATCATGTTAACACTTTTTAAACAGAAGAGAATATTCTAACTTCTGATATTATAAAAAGTAAATATAGCCAATTAAGTGATTAGAAAAAAAGAACTTATATCAGAAAAGCGTGAATAATAAGATAAAGAGGAAAGACAATGACATTGCCAACATTACTACAAATAACAAATTACAATGTAAAGTTAACATATTTTGTGGAGCCCAACTACTGGCGATAAGCATCAAGATTTCATATATATAATTTATAATTTATTAAAAAGGGTCATATAATCTTATATAATAAAATTGACTTAATATTGAATAGTAATATCAATGTAATAATATCGTTATTAGGAAAAATTCTTCATAAACCAATATGTTCTTTATGATACACAAGCTATGCACTCCAAATTCTTTTATTTTTTATAGAGCCAAAAAGTTTGAATACGAGCCTCTAACATGTTGCTCTCGCAACAGTAAAATTCACTTAGCACATGTGGATATTCCAGATGAGTTATATGTCCTATATACAATACAATTGCCCTAAGCAAATGAGTTATAATAGCATTTTTTATTCATATTATTTGGGGTAAGATTTGATAGGGACCTTGCATCAAAGAAAAAAAAATTTTATACTTAGAGCACATGGCAAAATATATCATAATCTCCCTACTCTAATTTTATAAGAAAATAATTCTTTATATTTTTAGTTTTACTTCTATGATACATAGAATGAGCTGCTATAAAATTGAATGAGAATATTATATAATGTAAATATGAGTTAAACCACAACTAAAAATTAATGCGAATATGAGTCAAATCACGACTAAAAGTTCAATGGACACATTGCAAGTAAATTTATATGCAAAATTTCTTTACGAATTGAATGATCACTCATCTTTTGAAGACTTCAAAGTACTAATAAACAGAGATGTTATACTAGATTAATGTGTTTATAACTCATAAATAGTAGATCACATGACCACAGTCTGGGTTGAAGGAAACAATGATAATATTTTATTTGAGAGAGAAATTATTGAGTTGATGATCAATCCCACAAAAAAAACTTTATTTTTTTTATGTTTACTCTATTTTTTATCAATTTAAATAATCATGATATTCAATCACGTGTTTTGCAAGTACATCTCAACTAGTTTAACTAAATGAGTGAGTTTAGATGGGTCATTTAGTGGGTCGGTGTAGGTGGGCAAATGGGTTCGGGTCAATTTTGCCATCCCTACGTCAACATATAACCATCTACATCCATTCTCTTGCAATTTCTCTTTTAATATTAATTGAAAAATCCACTGAGCTTATTAAAGATAACCGCTCCTAATTAGCCAATTTCATGTTACCGCCTTTATTTGCCATCCCTCATGCGTCATTCCCAGTGGCGAACCAAGGATTTTCAAAATACCACTATATAATTAAAAATTAAAAAGTTTTATAATTGCACCCCATGAGTTTTCATATTTAGGGGAAAAACTAATCGGGTTGTCAGTAACACAATTAAATATATATTTCTCAATATATAATGACAATGAACAATCATTGGGCCAATCATCACTCATTTATTCGCACTAGTAGAAAATCACGTATTCTAGACGGAATATTCTAGACGGAATATTCTAGACGGAATTTTTTCCGTCACTAGTAGAAAATCACGTATTCTAGACGGAATATTCTAGACGGAATATTCTAGACGGAATTTTTTCCGTCTAGAATGTATTAAACTAGACGGAAATTTTCCGTCTAGAATATTCCGTCTAGAATAAAACATTCTAGACGGAATTTTCCATCTAGAATAGTATCCTAGACGGTTCCTTTATTTTTTATTTTTTTTAAAATAACCAGATATTCTAGATGGAAATTTCCGTCTAGAATAGTATCCTAGACGGAAATTTCCGGCTATAATACACTGACCAATTTTTTTAAAAAAATTCACCAAATAAACCCGCGAATGCCCTCCTTTCCCCCCTAAAACGAATAATTCATCCCCAAATTCGTTTTCATTTCAGGAACCCCCCTCCTACTCCTCCCTCTCCCTCTCCCCCATCTCCGGCGGCGTCAGCATCAACCCCTCCGCCATCTCCTTCAGCAACCCCGACATATTAAACAGCGCCTCCTCGTCCACGAACACCGCTGGCGGCGGCCGCGACGACAATGTCGACGGAGAAGGCATCGGTTGCCTCGGCGAAGACACCACTGGCCTGAACCTCTCCGCCGCCTCCGACGCAACACGCCGTATCTCCTCCGCGCTGCTCGACGCCACACGCGGCAGCATCCACGCGGAGTCTTCGAAGTTGAGCGGGGCCGGCGGGGCCTTTCCCGCCATTGCGCTCCCTGACGCCTCGGTACACAGGGTGGCGGGTTTCTAGCTGTGGCTGTAAGTTTTACTTGACTACGCTGTCAAATGTTGAATGTTGAATTCTAGCTATGGCTGTGAGTTTGTGTTTAAATTGAGAAATGCATGCCAACTGTTTGTTAAAATGCTTGTGTGAGTTTATCTGAATGAAATTGATCTTTACTTTGTGATTTATGTTTGTGAAGTGCCTCTACAAAGAGTGGAGAGGCATTTTGGGATGGAGGTTTGATCTACATGCATTCTTGGCAAAATTATGGAAGGAACAAAAATCAATTTCATTCAGATCGGTGAGATATTCATCCTACCTGCAAGAAAAGTATGCATGTACTGACACATAAACTAAAAATGATCTATAATATATGCAATTGGGTTTGAAGGAGAGGGCGAAACTCAATGAGAAGATTGTGGTTAGTTTGAAGTTTCTCACTTGATAGAAGTCTTCACGGGCTCAATTTTTTGTTATCCAATAGGGTTTAGTAATGATGTTGAACAGGAGAGAAGAAGTTAGGAGCGATAGTAGTCATCGGCTATACGAAAGTGTGTTGTATTGCTTTTGCTTAGTTTTATTTTGATCCTAATTTAGTGAATGGCATTACTCTAAACAGAGTGTAATCAATGACGCTGCTTCTGGTTGGGGTGTTGAGTGTATTCGATATGAAATAAGTAAGTCTATCTTTGTTTTCAGTGCATATTACTTGGGTTCAGTTCATATTACTTGGGCGGCAGTTTTGCTGTAATTTTACACATTGTTTTTGTTATTTGATTTAATGCAGTGGATGTAACACCTCCACCTAGCGTATTGACGGCTATGAAAAAGCAAGTTGAAGCTGAAAGAAAAAAACGTGCTCAGATTCTTGAAGCTGAAGGTGATTACTTGTGAAAATATATGAGCTTATCATTGACATGTGTCATGTACTTTAACTTATAGACATTTCTTCTGAATGCTACTACAACATTATGGCATTGCAATATTGTCTCGTTTCAATGTGCCCACTATCATGTAGGCTACAAATTTGATTTTCTCATGGAGGCTAGCTGAAAATTATAACATTTTCATCTAGTTCACTTTATTGGCCTTTTGTAATCAAATGTAAACTTATTGATTTCTTTTATATAAACAGGAGAAAAGGAATCACACATCAAAAGAGCTGAAGGGAATAAACAAAAGAGCTGAAGGGAATAAACAATCCGCAATACTGACAGCAGAGGGTAAGTGGCACCTTCTTTTACTTGTATGTACTAATACTCAAATGCTAATATTGATAATCATGCTGGAATCAATCTATATAATATCTTACATATGTAATATGGAATTTGGTTGTCTAGTCTCATATGGATTTTTCGTGTCTTTCAATTATGCAATCTATGTATGTTTGTAAACTCTAAGCGTGTTTTGTATTTTTATATTATAGCAAACAAGCTCTCTTTTGGATTTTTATATTATAATCATCAAATTGTATTTTTAAGTATATGATATTCCAAAAATGCGTAATAAAAGCTTTCTTCTGGATTAAAAAGTCGAGTATCCTGCTATTATAGTACTGGTTTTGTAAACTGTGATATCCTACCTGTTTCCCCCTTCATTCCAATTCTAAGATATCCAGTAATACGAGACTTTGATGTTGATGGTTATCCAACTGACTCTGAATGCATACTATGAAAATCACAATTTATATTAGATCTATGATATTCACATGCAAAATAATATTTTTCTCGGATCAGAAGATCAAATATCAATATGCTTTAGTCAGATCATGATTTTATGAACTGTGATTTTACTCATCAAACAGATACTCTGCATATTACATTTCAAATATACAAACATATCTGGATATTTGATGTTGATATGCAAAGGGACTCTTTAAGTGTTTTCCTTATCATATCTTCTTTATGCTTTTTAGGAAAGCGATGATAATGGTTTCAAGAGGGACTCTTTTAGAAAAGTGTAGCTGAAAAAAATGTGGTTCAACCTCGCTTATGATAAATATTTACTGCTACTTCTGTGTAGATTTATGGAGCTTTCTACTTCATTGTCATTTCTGAAGGAAGAGGCCTCCTTCCTGCTTACTTTTTTTAAACATCAGACATAATGTGCTTATTAGAGTTTTTTTATATAAACAGGAGAAAAGGAATCCCAGATACTGGCAACGCAAGGTAAGTGTTGTCCGGCATTAACCTCATTGACTTCATATCATATATTCATATTGCTTGTTGATAGTCAAGTAGTCGTACTGAATTAAGTCTCCATAGTTCATTACACATGCACGATGACAGTTAGTTTTCTTATATGAATTTTCTGATTTATGCTTACTAACTTTAATTTTTGGGCATAATTAATTCATGTATTTGCTAACAAGAACTGAAACAAGCTAACTTAGCTAATAATGACTAAAAGATGCTGATTTAGCTAATGTGTTTGTTGTATGATTTGACATTTAGCTAATGTGTTTGTTGTATGATTTGACATTTGAGTGTGCAATCATTCCCTGAAATCTTTAGTTGGGTATTCATTTTGTATATACAAACCGAGGTAGTCGAATAGAAGAATTTTGGTTTTTTTTTCCGTCTATTGTATATCCTCTATATGTGGTTTTAATTTTTGTTTCCCATGTTTCGCAGGTGTTTATCTGTTAACAGAAGTGTTGGTCATTGGAGAATTCAGGTGAGCTTTGTTGCTGTGTATTTTGGATCTCAATGCATTAGTGTGCATTCATGTGTTTTGATGGTGTTCTACTGTTTATTGATTGGTTCTTTTACATGGGGATATTATAAAATTGTCCATGAAAATATGTATCCTTTTGGAAATATGATATAATCTTTCACTAAATTATGGCTTTACTTTGTATTATCTTTTATGTGAATCATGATAATTCAAAACATGCTTGGGTTGGGTTTCTGCGATGCTACTAAAATGAAGTCACTAGTAGAAATACACATATGAAAATATGATTTAGATAATAGCTTGTACTAAGAAATATGATACTCTACTTCGATAACTCCTTGCCTTATGCATAACCGTTCTTCATTTTGCAGCATTCCTGGCTATAATGAGGCATTCTGGAAGGAGTTGGATGGTGTCAAGCAAATCTGGAAGAACAAAAAGGAACTCAAATAGATTAATAATCATGTATCGATGAATTACATTCTTTCCTAGAAGTGCATAGCCATTGTAAATAATTTATGTAAACGTTTGTAAATAATTTATGTATCTCTCTACTATTTTGGTGAATGTATTATTTGAATATAATTGGATTTGATATTGGAATTAATTAGATTGTGTTGGATATGAATATAATTTTTTGTTATTCAAGATTATGTACATACACTCAAAGTAGATTTTGCAAAAAAAAAAACACTGTAGCATAGTATTCTAGACGGAAATTCCGTCTAGGATGCTTAAATTTCGTCTAGAATACTTTTTAAAAATAAAAAAAAAAAATTTAAAAAATCAAATTCCGTCTAGAATAAGATTTCTAGACGGAAATTTCCGTCTAGAATACTTATTCTAGACGGAATTTTTTTCCGTCTAGGATAAATTATTCTAGACGGAAATTCCGTCTAGAATAATCTGTCTAGGATGTATTCTAGACGGTTTTTAATTCCGTCTAGAATATTCCGTCCAGGATGTATTCTAGACGGAATTTCCGTCTAGAATACTACATACTAGACGGAAAATTCATCCTAGACGGAAAATTTGAGGCATCCTAGACGGGTTTATTTGGTGAATTTTTTTAAAAAAATTGGTCAGTGTATTATAGACGGAAATTTCCGTCTAGGATACTATTCTAGGCGGAAATTTCCGTCTAGAATATCTGGTTATTTTTTAAAAAAATAAAAAATAAAGGAACCGTCTAGGATACTATTCTAGACGGAATTTTTCGTCTAGAATGTTTTATTCTAGACGGAATATTCTTGACGGAAAATTTCCGTCTAGTTTAATACATTCTAGACGGAAAAAATTCCGTCTAGAATATTCCGTCTAGAATACGTGATTTTCTACTAGTGTTGGTTGCACTTAAATATTTAAAGCTTATAAAAGCTGCACTTTGATACTCTTGGTTATGAATACATGAGAGTTTCTCCCTAAAAATTCTCATGAGACCCTCACACACTAATTTTAGAATATTTAAAATCTTAATATTTGCTAAATTTATTGTCAAACATAATTACTAGGGGTGGCATAATTGACCCAAACTCATTTGCCCACCCAAACCCAGATATCTAATCTAATCTAATCTAATCTAATACTATTATAAAAGTGTGTTGCCATGTTAAAACATTTCTTCCAAAAATACCCTCCGAAACACATACATGCATACATCTCTAGCACATCCATACATCCATACATGCATACATTAAGATATATACATACTTAATTTTTCATAACCTCCCCATTTATTAGCATCAAATTTTTATTTAACCACCCACTAATAACATTCCCCCACTAAGTCTTGACATTACACACTAATAATGAAAAACGTTACAACTATTCATCTTCCATGAATTACTATTATAACATCCCCCACTAAGTCTTCCAGCTCCTTTTGAGAGGAAACAAGATATAGAATCACCTCCTGAGGTCAAATATGAAAATGAAATGGACAGTTTATTAGATAGTTTAGGACCGAGATATGATGATTGGCCAGGACCTGATCCGTTGCCTGTAGATGCTGATATGCTTCCAGGCATTGTTCATGGCTATAAACCTCCTTTTAGAATCATCCCTTATGGCGTGAGGTCTTCTTTTGGTTATAAGGAAGGTACTGCAATAAGGAGGTTTGCCAGGGTATTGCCTCCTCATTTTGCCCTTGGTAAGCGAGCATCTTATTACTATATCCCTTTAGCAATTGAATTGTTCATATGAATTTATTTTTTCTTAGTGCTCAAATTCCTCTTCATGTAGGAAGAAGTAGGCAGCATCAAGGTTTAGCTACAGCGAAGCTGAAGCTGTGGGAAAGAAGTTCGATTGCAAAGATCGCTTTGAAGCGTGGGGTACATCTTACTACGAGCGAAAGAATGGCTGAAGATATCAAGGTGACATAAGCTACTGATTCATACTTAACAACTTTTAAATAGCTTTATGCTTATAAACGGCATATGCGAAAGCCAACATGTGCGTAAAATGTGAAAAGAAAAAGGAAGCAGAAATCTCTTTATAAACACTCGTTTGGTTAAATGAGTCATAAATGAGTGGTTATTATTTCTATTAAAGATAAATGGGTCATAAACGGGTGGACTATTACCCCCAATTTGCGCATTTAAATGGAATTTTTTTTCAAAAACACCCTCAAAGTTTTAACAATTATAAAAAATTTAAAAGTTTAAAATTACATAAAATACCCTAAGGGTAAACTAACGACCAATACACATAAAATTAGGAAATCACCAGTAGCCTCTTTAAAATTTGAGATTTGTAAAACAACACCCTCGAAGTTTAAAAAATTATAGAAGAAACCCTAAAGAGTTCAAAATTACAACAACAATCTTAGAATTTTCTAAACTTATAAATGACCCACAAAATCTATAAATTTCCATTAGTCCACTATAAATTAAAAATTTACAAATGACACCCTCAAATATTAATAAAATGCAAAAAACACCCTCAATGGTTTAGAATTACAAAAACCACTCTAAAATTTTAAAAACTAAAAATAACACATGCAATTAAAAAAAATATCAGCAGCCCCCTGTAAGTTTGGAATTTGTAGAAAACACTCTCATAGTTTAAAAAATAGCAAATAACACCCTCAAAGTTCAAAATTACAGAAAACTCTCAAAACTTTGTAAACTTGCAAATGACACATGAAATCTAAAAATTTCTAGCAATCCCCAATAAATTTAAAATTTTACAAAAAATTACCCTTTAAGTGTTAGAAAATATGAAAAACGCCCTCAAGGGTTTAGAATTATAAAAATCACCCTAAAATTTCGAAACCATAATAAGACACATGAATTCAAGAAATTAGCAGCAGCCCCTTGTAAATTTAAAATTTGCAGAAAATATCCTAAAAATTTTAAAAAGTATAATATTACCCTCAAGAGTTCAAAATTACAACAAAATCTCAGAATTTTCTAAAACTTGTAAAAACACCCTTAAAGTTTTAAAAATTGCAAAAACACACTTAGTGGCTTAGAATTACAAAAATCACCTTGAAATTTCAAAAGCTAAAAATAACACATGAAATCAAAGAATTACTAGCAGCATCTTGTGAATTTGGAATTTGCAAAACTCACGCTCATAGTTTAAAAATTACAAATAACACCCTAAAAATTCAAAATTATATAAAACTGTGAGCATATTCTATCTTGCAAATGTACATGCAATCTAAAAATTTCTAGCAGTCCTTATAAATTTTAAAATTGCATAAAATACCAAAAATTCCAAAACATGCAAAAGAACAATACAAACCTAGAATTATAGAAAACTAATGAGTTTTTTCTGTAATTCTGAGTTCTTAAGGGTGTTATTTATAATTTTTTAAAACATGAGGGTATTTTTTACAAATTCTAAATTCACAAGGAGCTACTGGTAATTTTTTGATTTCATGTTACATTTTTAGTTTTTGAAAATTTAGGGTGGTTTTTGTAATTCTAAACCCTTGAGGGTGTTTTTTTGCATTTTTTAAACTTTAAGGGTATTTTTTGTAAATTTTAAATTTATAGGGGACTATTCAAATTTTATAGAATTCATGCGTCATTTGTAAGTTTAGAAAATTCTGAGATTTTTTTTGTCCTTTTTGAACTCTTATTAATGGTGTTATTTGTAATTTTTAAATTTTGAGGGTGTTTTCTACAAATTTTGTATTTACAAGGGGTTGCTGGTAATTTTCTGATTTTATGTGCCTTATTATGGTTTTGAAATTTGAGGGTGGTTTTTATAATTCTAAACTCTTGAGGGTTTTTTTTCACATTTTTTCAAAAATTCAAGGCTATTTTTTGCAAATTTTAAATTTGTAGGGAACTGCTAGAAACTTTTAGATTTCATATGTTATTTGCAAGTATAGCAAGTTATGAGAGATTTTTGTAATTTTGAACGCTTGAGAGTAATTTTTATAATTTTTTAAACTATGACGGTGTTTTCTACAAATTCTAAATTTATAGGGGCTGTTGGTAATTACCCGAGTTCATGCGCTATTTTTAGTTTTTAAAATTTTAGGGTGGTTTTTGTAAATCTAATCCCTTAAGGGTGTTTTCACATTTTCTAAAACTTTGAGGGTGTTATTTGAATATTTTAAATTTATAGGGGGCTATTTGAAATTTTTAGATTTTAGGTGTTCTTTGTAAGTTTAGAAAATTCTGAGAGTTTTTTACAATTTGAACTCTTGAAGGTGTTTTTAGCAATTTTTTAAATATTATGGGTGTTTTTTACAAATTATAAATTTATAGGGGCTGTCGATAATTTTTAGATTGGACAAATTTTTAAAAACAACCCTTTTGCAAAATTAATGAGCAAAATCAACATTCTCACAAAAAAACCCAGCAAAATCGACCCTTTTCGTCTCAACTCAGATGAAAATGGTCGATTTGCTGTAGGAGTTTTTTCAAACTACACGGGACTACTAGTCACGTGTAGTTAAGGCATGCTAATCCAGAATTAGCATGCCAAACCAAGTGGATGGGACTAGTAGTCATGTACATTTGGTATATATATAAGACCGCACCCGTGACTCCCCTCCCCTCAAACAGATCTCGCTCCCCTTGCCTAAAATAGATTTCGCGACCCCCTCTCCCTCAATCAAATCTCACGACCCCCTCCCCTCTTTCCTTCCTTAATCAGATCTCGCGACCCCCTATGACAGATCTCGCAACCTCGCCGGTCTCGCTTGCCCCAGCCTCCGTCCACGCTCACGACGACAGGCGCCTTCGACCCGCTCGTGACCACAGCCGTCTCTAACCATATTAAACTCCAATCAAGGTAAAACTTTTCTCTATTTGCTTGTGAATTTGATGATTGATATGGATGTATCAGGCTAGGGTTAAATTTTGATATGAATGATATGGTTTTTGATTTAGGGTTTAATTCTAATTGGGATATGAAATTTGTGGTGTGAATTGTAATTTTTTGTGAGAACTTTGATGAATGATATGGATTG